ATTGCTAAATACTCGCTAAACTCCGTCTATTCGACGTAAAATTTCAAAATTCTTTTAACCTTCAGAGTGTTAAATTACTCCGTGGCCCGACAAGTATTAAATTCTATGCTTTTATAATACATTATGTTGATTGTTAATCTTAATTCAAATACTGTACAACATTTTGAAGTTTTTCAATAAAACTTCTAGCTATCTAGGATGTTTTCTGTCTGATCTGTCGTTCGTTAAATTGTCGTAAAAATTAATTTTAAAACAAAATCTAGGAAAAGAGGCATCGATTCTATATATAACTTCTTCACAGAGTAGACAGTGTAATGATAGTAATATTCTTATTTCTCGCATTGCACGTTGGGTGAATTTCAAAAGGGTTATCAGCAGACTCTGGCTTCGACTGGGGTTGATACGCGAGCGTAAGTCGAAAGAAAAAAAAAAAAAGAAAAAACGAAGAGAAAAACGGGGAAAGAAGCGGAAAATTTAAGAGGGCCTCTAGATGACCCTGTTGCTTCAAGGTTGAGAGGACTGCCTCGAGAAAGGTACGAGAGCTCGCTGATGTCTCTTGAAAACGGCCACCTTGTGTACAGTGGCAAATAAAGAGAGAGAGAGAGAGAGAGAGAGAGAGGAGAGAAGCGGTATGCAAAAAAAAGCAACGTTAAAGCAGATTAAGGGCGGTGTTCATAGCGTACTCGGAAGATGCCAAGTATTACGTAGATTCTCGCGAGTGTTCTCGTATGCATGAATAACAATTAACCTGTTCACCGTGTTTGACAACTATACTTTGTATATTCAGAAATGGTAATTTCCGGTGTTTCTTAAGTATTCGTGAAAAAAATGACGAATATTTTCTGTTAATAACGAGTGTAATATTACTGCATCGTAAAATGATTATACGTTGTAAAAATTATTTTACAATGATAATTGTTATTACTATAATATTAATTCATTATTAATATGATTACGTCGTAAAATTAATCGTTTGTGTTAAAATCTTGGTAACAATTACGTGCAATTGTACGAAGAAATGGCAATCTTTTCTGACGAGTATGATATTATTACATTACAAATTAATATTATATTTATTTAAATTAAATAAATATAAAAATTATTTCGCATTACAATTATTATGTTATATTAATCACGTTATGAAATTAATATTTTTCGTGTTCAAATTTTGTACAGTTGCTTGAAGAAATGGCACAAACGAGCATACTAGTCACGAAAAGATGACAATCTTTTGTGTCACGAATAAAAATTAGAAACCAAAGAACACTACGCTTAAAGAATATTTATAGTGAAAAATGAGAGAAACATTCGCAAATTTAAAATATACTGGAATATATTGAGACTGCAATGGAAAACGAAGAAATTCACTTGAGAAAACTAGTAAATGTCGCGAGTATGCGAAATTATAGTTCCCCGTGATTTGTCTTCGAATCAAATACATGGAACATTTATTCAGCTGGTCTTTTGGCAATTTTCTTTCATCACGTGATTCTATCTTGTCCAACAATAACAGCAACTTCGAGGAAGACAAGACTGCTAATTCCGATTTGCCATTTCTCGTCGTAATTTGATTGAAGTTACTAAAGCAGGTTGAAGTTACCCTCCGGGCACACAGGCGGACATTTTTCAAAACGGAGTTACCATCGCGGTTAAGAAGTTAAGCTTCTTGGAAATCGAGAGCGGATCAACTCTGCTTCTCCTCGAATCTCTCAATTTCGTTACGTCACGTGCGACACCGAAATTCACCAATTTCTTCCAAGTTATAATCCGCGATGGTTCTCCCACCAATTTCGAGCGAATTCTCGGTATTAGAAGACCGCGACAGTTTTCAGAGTCGATATCCAAATTGTCGATCCGACCTTCTTGAAATTGTTTCGAGACGATCGGCCAAAAACGAGAAGAGAAGAGATGAGATGAGAATTTCGATGAAAGAGAGCGACGAAATTGTTTCCTGCGAAATCAAGGTTGATAGAATCGACGTAACCATCGTTTTCCCTCGGCTGTCTGGAAGATAAATCGAGGATATCGAACAATGAGCGCGAGCCCACGCTCGATCGGCCCCGCGACAGATTCGTGGGTGTAAACGCAGCAAACCGGAACACAAAAGCAAGGGAGGAAGCGGAGGAGATGCTGTCTGCCTGGTCTATCAACGTCGCGAGTAATAAACGTGGAGGAAATCGGAAGCAGAATCGCGCGAATCTTGGATTATTAAACCAATAATAGAGATTGTTGAATTAAACGAACTAAATTTCGACGTTGTTCGCGGTTGAAATTGAGTTTGCAGCCTATATGTTTTATCGTCGAGTTCATTTCTCACGAAACTATTTCGTGGAATAGAATGGTTGGAAGTAGGAAATATTTCGAAATTGATATTGATACGTTAAAAATATTCTAACATTTATAGAAACTTTTCATGAATACGCAGTTGAAATTTAGATTGCAGTCTAATCTATTTTATCTATTGAATTTATTAAATTTCTCTCTCTCTCTCTCTCT